AACTGTAGGCAGGTGGTCATTAGTGGAAGAGGTAGGTTAGTGGGGTTGTGCCCTTGAGGAATATATCTTGTCCCTGGCTTCTCTTTCTCTCTCTTTCTCTCTCTCTCTCTCTCTCTCTCTCTCTCTCTCTCTCTCTCTCTCTCTCTCTCTCTCTCTCTCTCTCTCTCCTCTTCCCCACTCCATAAGCTGAGAAGCTTTCCATTGCCACACCTCTCCATCATGATGTTCTGCCTTTTGACCTACTGCAAGGGAGTTAGCTGACCATAGACTGAATCTCTGAAACCATGGGCCCAAAATAATCTCTTCCTCCTTTAAGTTTTCTTTTCAGGTATTTTTAAATATTTTTTTAGTTGTCAATGGACGTTTATTTTATTTATTGATATGTGGTGCTGAGAATCGAGCCCAGTGCCTCCACATGCTAGGCAATTGCTCTGCCACTGAGCCACAACCCCAGCCCATCTTTTGGTATTTTGATCACAGGGATGAAAAGTTGATTAACATGGTGCTGTTCTTTTTCCCTCCTAGACTAATACTTGAGCAAGGGGCAGGTGATGTGTGGCACAATTGAGGGAAAGTCTCATTACAAAGGGTTTTCGCCATTTGTGGGTTAGGAGCAGGGATGAGGGTATACAGGGAAGGGCTAGGAATGGAAATGTATTAAGTCAGAATGGATAAGGTCTTACTGAAGATGTTCCATAAAATACAAGGCCTCAGCAGAGATGATTGAAAATTGTCTTGGCTGAGAACCCCGATAAAGAGGCCTCTAAAAGGAGGTTCCTGGACCACATATGTCAATGAGTATGACTGCCTGAGGGTGAGGAACTGAGTCCTTGACTACAACTGCCTCCAGAAATGTCAAGGCTCTTGCTGGCTAACGGCTTTTCCCCACAAGGGTTGCTAGGCAAATTCTTTGTAATTTCCACATAGTGGGACGTACAGGATCACACATAGGATTTGGGGCAGGGGTCAGACTTCTCATTACATTGTCAATGCAAACCCCTCCCCCACACACACACATTTAGATGAAACAAATGCAGAGATGAGTGTTTATTTGCAAAATACAAATTTGTACTCCTTATGAGTTTCTGCCACTAATATAAACAACCTAGTTATTATCATTTGCATTCACAGGAATGGGTTAATGATAAAGAGGAGGCTACAGCCAATATTTTTTCTGTTCAAGTCACACTTAACTATTGACCCAATGGGGGTAGCAGAGTTGATTTAGCCATTTAAATGTTTTTTTCAATTTTGCTTTTTTATTTTTCCCAGAATTCTGTGGGGGGAAAAAGGTTAAAACAATGCATCTAAACTAGAGATTACACAATTCAGTGTACTTACAGACCAAATCATTGTTTTTCTCACCATTATTTTTAGGTTCTTCTAATGGGTCTCATATTGGTAATATTATAGAATTTCATAACAAGAACTTCATGATAGTATGATCAAAATTGAAAGTGATCATAATTGACTGCAAATTGAAATCCCCTTAGCCGCAAAATTTTTGCTTAAATAAACATAAAATTCTTCTTCCCAGGTCTCCTGTGCAGGGTGAACAGCCCCCCAACTCTGGACTGGTCATTGTATTGAGACTGTGATCATCAGGAGCAGCCTTGACTTGCTGCTGGGCTTCTACTTCCTCTTCCACATCCCCATCACTCTGTTTTTGGACCTGCATGCAGTTGGTGCTGCCACAAGAATTCTACTGGGTTATGTTTATAAACCTGCTAACTTGGTATACTAAATAGTTCAAAGACCCTCTGATACAGAGCACCCCAGTATGCTTTAAGTCCTTCATGTTTTGTGAGCTTTTGTTTCAGCTGCCTTCTTTCCCATTGCAACATACACTTTCTTCAAAGGAAATTGCAAGTATATCCACATGCTTGTAATCATCTACTCAGTTCACATCCTAACAACATTAATTCCAATTCTCTCCACATTTCTATTTGGGGATTTCTCCAAAGCCAGTAGTTTCAAAGGACTAGGTTCTGAGACTTTCCGTGAATGAATAACCTCATAGCCATCTATACCCCTACATTCTCATTCCCCTAATACTTCTGGTTTTCATGTTGAAAAACCCCCACTATGAGGTAAAAAGAAAGAAAAAATTAGGGAAACAACCACAGACCCAGGGAAGGATTCATGGGGCAATTGCCCTTCTTGACCCAATACAAGCAAAATTACTCTGAACCCATGTCTTCAGTAGCATTTGAAACACCAACAGCACTGCATAAGAGCAAGATAGTGACAAGTTACATCAAACCCTTAATCTTCCAAGGGCACTGGGATAAACAGATTGATCTGGGGGGCAAAGAAGTGGGGCTATCATAGGAAAGTCATGCCAAATACTTTACCATGTGACTAAGTTCCATTGCAGAATTTCTAAAAGCAGGACCAGACCAGAAACTGGGTAAGCTTCCTCAAAATATGGCCTGCTTGACTCATTCATGAGGCATCTGATCCACAGCATATACACATGACTAAACCTTTGACTCACAATTCACTATAGCTTATCACCAATCCAAAAAATAGTGGAGTGTTTCAGGCCATTCAAATTAGAAATTGTGTCTCTTTAATATTTATTAAAAACTATGTTTTCTTGGCCCTACCTCTACCCCTTGGAGAAAAAAAAGGAAAATATTATGCTGAAGAGGTTTAAACTTGTTCTCCTTAAGATTCAGCCTCAGCATGATTTGTCAAACAGGTTAAACTGGAAGGTGTTTATTTTTTAAACAGGTCATCCCAAGAGATTTCAAGTCACCTTGTTCATCTTATTTCCAAATCTTAGTCATCCATATTTTTAAAGACCATCTGAGGAAATTACCTTCACTCTGAAGGCTGGCATCTAAAGACTGTTCTGGAAGTGTGCTCCCTAATGGACAACTTCATCCTTTCTGATACAGTCTGGTCATTCCCATCCTGTTCAGGGGTGGAGATAGCTGGGTGTGATAAGCCCAATTTGTACATGTCAGGTCTCTTCATGTTAATTCCATTAGTGTCCTCCAAATCTACTTGAGGCCAATACTAAAGAGGGAAAACACAAAAACAGGTCCCAGCCAACTCTGTTTTTTTCATTTTTGTTCACAAGCCATATTGATCTAACCATTGGTACCATCTGACTTGGATGCATCTGGTCCAAGTAAAGTCAGCTACTGACCAAAAAAAAAAACAAAAACAAATATAAAACTGCAATATCAAATCGATTTTATTTCTAAAAGGTTTTTTTGGTGTTTGTTTATTTTGGTTTGGTTTTAGTAGTTGCATTCTCTGCACTTATTCTCTGTTCCCTCTCATTGGATGAGAAAGTTGATTATTTCAATTCCATATTTCTAATATTTCATGATTTTTCCAAGTTTCATAAGCCAAAAAGATGAAAAAAAAAGAATAGCATTACCTTAGATTAGGTAGAGGGAAGTGAAAGGAGGGGAAGGCAGGGGACGTGGGATATGAAAGATAGTAGAATGAAACAGACATTAATACTGTATGTATGTATGTGACTGTATGACCAATGTGATTCTACAATATGTATACTCAGAAAAATGAAAAATTATATCCCATCTATGTATGATATATCAAAGTATATAACTGCATTCTACTGTCATGTATAACTAATTAAAACAAATAAAAAAATTTAAAGATGTAAAAGATATTTAGAAAAACTGAAAAAAAAAATGCAAAGACCCTAACTAGGTAAATTCTGATATGTCTTATGATATAAACACCAATTTTATTTTGCAATAGTCTTTCCTAAATAAAACACAACAGACAGAAATTTACTATTATCTGAGTTTTGAGGATTTATAGAGAGAGAAAGAGACAGAGACAGAGGTAGACATGCAGAATATCTTTTAGATATAATTTCAATAATATATGCATTTACTTTAGTTATGAAGAAATAATATGCAAGTTAAATCAAGCTTTTCTCTGGGACACATTTATTCCTTGCAGGCTTCCTTCCAGCAGATATTTTAAGCTAAGGAATTCAAGTTAATCCATTTAGAAATTAAAGTTGGGTTTTTTTTTTTTTTTTTTTTTTGTAGCTTTTAAAAATATCTCTGACATTTCAGAGGGAGTCAATATGTTTTCAAAACATGTTCTCACTTCAACTATTTGCCTTTAGTAAGTTGTAAATTTATTATCTTGAGTAAATCACATGATCATCTCAATAGATGTAGAAAAAGCATTTGACAAATACAACAACCATTCATATTCAAAACACTAGAAAAACTAGAGATAATAGAGATAAACCTCAGTGTTGTAAAAGCTACATATGTGAAAATTCCCTCTAAAAACTGGAACAAGACAGGATGCCCTCTTCCACCACTTCCATTCAACATACTCCTTGAAACTCTAGTCAGAGCAATTAGGCAAAAGAAAGAAGTTAAAGGGATATGAATAGGAAAAGAAAAGCTCAAACTATCCCTCTCTGCTAATGACATGATCCTATATTTAGAAGAAGAAAAAAAAAACCTCCACCAGAAAACTTCTAGAACTCCTAAACAAAGTGTCCAAAGTAGCAGGATATAAAATTAACACCCATAAATCAACTGTCCTCCTGTATACCAACTGATTGACAATCAGCTGAAAAAGAAATTAGGAAAACTATCTCATTCACAATAACCTCAAAAAAAAAAAAAAAAACCTGGGAGTCAATCTAACAAAGGAGATGAAAGGCCTCCACAATGAAAACTACGAACACTAAAAAAGGAAATTGAAGAAGACCTTAGAAGATGGAAAGATCTCCCATGTTCTTGGATAGGCAGAATTAATATTGTCAAAATGACCACACTACCAAAAGTGCTATACAGATTAAATAATATTCCAATCAAAATTCCAATGCTGTTGTTGTTATAAATATAAAAAGCAATCCTGTAATTCATTTGGAAAAATAAGAGGTCCAGAATAGCCAAAGCAATCCTTTGAGAAAACTAAAGCAGGAGGCATCACAATACCAGACTTTAAATTTTACTAAAGAGCTATAGTACCAAAAACAGCATGTTATTAGCACCAAAACAGACTTGAAGACCCAAAGGAAAAGAAAACACCACAAACCCACATAAATACAGTTATCTCATGCTAAAAAAAGTTGTCATAAACATACATTGGAGAAAAGATAGCCTCTTTAACATTTGCTTCTGGGGAAACTGGAAGCCCATAGCAAAACAAAACTTAACCCCTACATCTCACCCTACACAAAACTCAACTCAAATTGGATCAAAGACCAGGTACTAGGCCAGCACTTAGTAGAAGAAAATATAGACCCAACACTCCATCATGTTGGCCTAGGAACTGACTTCCTCAACAAGACTCTTAAAGCATAGGAAGTAAAATCAATAATGAATACATGGGACAGTATCAAACTAAAAGTCTTCTTAGCAAAGGAAATAACCAACAGCATGAAGAGAGAACCTACAGAATGGAAGAAAATCTTTGCCACCTGCACCTCATATAGAACATTGATCTCCAGGGTATATAAAGAACTCAAAAAACTTAACACCAAAAACAATCAATAAATGGGCAAAAAAATTGAACAGGCACTTCACAGAAGAAGAAGTGTGAATAGTCAACAAAACTTATTGGCATCTGATTACCACTCCATTTTTAACTTTATGCTTAATACCAATTGATTTCATCACACCCATGTTTATTGCTACACTATACATAAAAACTGAGACATGGAATCAACCTAGATTGGCATCAAGAGATAAATATAAAGAAAATGTGCCATATAGTCAAAATGGTGTATTATCCAGATATAAAAAAGAATCAAATCCCATCATTGATAGAAAAATAGACTGAATTAAAAGACCTTATGTCAAGTGAAATGAGCCAGACATAGAAAGACAAGTATCACATGTTCTCTTTCATATGTGAAAGCTAAAAATAGTCAACCTGAATAGAGATTGGGATGGGTGTTGGTGGGGTGGGAAAACAAAGATCAAATTTGATCAGTACATACTGTACACAGATATAGAGATATCATATTGAACCCCATTAATATGTATAATTAATATATTATAATAAAATTTTAAAATAAAATGTTATTAATAACCACTATTACAATAAATGATTCTGGAGTTGGAAGTTTCTGTTTAGATTTCATCTTCAGGAATTTCACTTATCTCTGATGGAAGAAGGCTTTCTTAAATACAGTATTCCTAAATGTTTCATTTTACTTTTTTTCTGTTGCTATTGCTATTACAGCTGCTTCTCTCTCTCTCTCTCTCTCTCTCTCTCTCTCTCTCTCTCTCTGTGTGAGAGAGAGAGAGAGAAAGAGAGAGAGAATGAATTATTTGTTAGGGTTGGGGGAATTTTCCATACCACAAGAAATAGAAGTTTCCTTTTATGTTTTTATATTTTATAAAATTTTTACTCAAAATATAATTCATGCTAATTGTAACAAGTTAAATAACAGAGACTAGTAAACTTTTTCTTTTTCTATATCAATTTAATTTCCATGAGAAAGCAAAAGTTAACAATTTATTGTCCTCTCCTTTTATATCCATGTACATACACATATTTATAGGCATATATAGCATAAAGAGCATTTTTCTATATAAACACTATCATATTTTAAATATTTAATTTATTTTTGTTTAGTGGTCATATGATGTATTGTCAGTTATATATGTATATACAAATTCACAGTACAGGTGAAATTTAATTTCTATTTAACTATAATGAGTATCTTAGCTGAGTATAATCCCAAGAAATATGAGGATTTGGATACCTAGAACGCAACAAAGACTAGTAGAAGAACTCTGAAATGTAACCCTGATCAATAATTCTTCTGGTATCTGAAATTATCTGAGTCAAAAAATCGTATAACAATGATAAACCTCAGAGGATTTAAAAGTCAGCAGAGAAAGGACATCTTAGAGCAGCAGATCCTATTTTTCATGCATAGTTATCAGTTCAGAATGTCATAGGAATAAAATTATCTGGCTGTACTAATCATGAACATAAACAGACTTTCATGTTTTATATCCAATAAACATTCATCAAGAACTGGAATCTGAAAGAAAAAGGAAGATATATCAATTAGGAAATCAAGATTTTCTGAAGGAAATATGTCGAGAAGGTAGAATTTGCTCTCATGTCTCTAAGTTCTTATTGATCCTTGAATCTATATGGTATTATTTAGAAGTTAGGATCCATTAGGTAGAAAAGTAAAAACCCATAAATATGGCAGAAATGGGGGTTTGAGTAGTTTTTCAGTAAACCTAGCATATGTCTGTCATTTGGAATCACTCCCTGCAGGCAGATGTAATGAAAGATGTGGAGAGAGTCCCAGCTATGGCTTTAAGAACTTCTGAGGATACTAAAAGGATAGAAAAGCACTGGCATACTATAATAGGTAAGACTTTGGTATTATTCACATTTGCATTACTATGATAAAATACCTAAGATAACCACCTTATCTCAACCTTTTAGAGGTTTCAGTTCACAGTTAGTTGGCCATATTGCTTTGGGGACTGTTGAGAGGCAACACATCGTGGCAGGAACATGTGGCAGAGGAAGTTTCTCACTTCAGGGAGGTCAGGAAGTAAATAAAAAAGGAAAAAGAAAGTGACTGAAGTCGCTAAATTTCCTTTTAGGACACAGTCCAATGACCTAACTTCCATTCAGTGAACTCTACCACCTAAAGGTTCCACCATCTCCCAATTACCTCCACAGTTGGTAACCAAGCTTTTAACGTGTGGGCTCCTGGGGGACAATTATCCAAACTATACCAACTCCAAAATCAAATAACTTAACTCAGGGTAACATTTCTTGAATTGTTTAATCTTTTAATTTGATGATCAAAAATGTTTAAATCTTTCAAATGTGATGAACACTTCACAATGTTAATCAAGCTTCTACCTGGCTGAAGACTTGTGAATACTAGAATTTTCTTTCTGGACACATTAAATTGTACATCTATTTTAGTCAACTTTTGTATCACTGTGACAAAAATATTTGACAAGATCAATTTAGAGATAAGAAAGGCAGCAGAACACAACAGACACTAGTATGGCAATATG